AATTGAACATACAATTGTTGTTTTGTTTATGGGTTTTCTTTTTTTTCTATCTATCTATCTATCTATCTTTTATCTATCTATCTATATCTATTATCTATCTATCTATCTATCTATCTATCTATCATCTATCATCATCACCTATCTATCCATCCATCTACCTATTTATTATCTATCTATCATCCATCTATACATCTATCTATCTATCTATCTATCTATCTATTATTATTATTCAATTTAAATCCAAGTGAGTTAACAGATAGTATAATAATGGTTTCAGGAATAGAATTTAGTGCTTCATCACTTACATAACACCCAGTGCTCACCCCAACAAGTGTCCTCCTTAATGTCCATCTCCCATTTAGCCATCCCCCCACCCAACACCTCACCAGCAACACTCAGTTTGTCCTCTGCATTTAAGAGTCTCTTATGGTTTGTCTTCCTCTCTGCTTTTATCTTCTTTTTGCTTCCCTTCCCCTATGTTTATCTGTTTTCTTCTTAAATTTCACATGAGTGAAATCATATGATATTTATCTTTCTCTGACTTATTTCACTTAGCATAATATAATCTAGTTCCATCCACATTGTTGCAAATGACAAGATACCATTCTTTTTGATCACTGATTAATATTCCATTATATATACATATACATATATATAATATATATGTATATGTATATATGTATACATAGAGACATACACATATATATATATATATATATATATATATATATATATATATATATATCCTTCTTTACCATTCATCAGTCGATGGACATTTGGGCTCTTTCCATATTTTGGCTATTGTTGACGGTGCTGCTATAAACATTGGAGTGCATGTATCCCTTCGAATCAGCATTTCTGTATCTTTTGGATAAATACCTAGTGCTCCAATTACTGGAATAGTAGGGTAGTTGTATTTTTTATTATTTGAGGAACCTCCATACTGTTTTCCAGAGTGGCTTCACCAGTTTGCATTCCCACCAGCAGTGCAAAGGGTTCCTCAATCTCCGCATCCTTGCCAACATCTGTCGTTGTCTGAGTTGCTAATGTTAGCCATTTTGACAGGTGTGAAGTGGTATCTTATTGTGGTTTTCATTTGTATTTCCCTGATGATGAGTGATGTTGAGCATCTTTTCATGTGTTGGTTTGTCATCTGGATGTCTTCTTTGGAGAAGTGTCTAATCACGTCTTTTGCCCATTTCTTCACTGGATTATTTGTTTTTCGGGTGTGGAGTTTGGTGAGCTCTTTATGGATTGTGGATACTAGCCCTTTTTCCAATATGCCATTTGCAAATATCTTCTCCCATTCTGTTGGTTGCCTTTCGTTTTGCCGATTGTTTCCCTTGCCTCTGGAAACATGGTGAGTAAGAAGTTGCTGTGGCCGAGGTCAAAGAGGTTTTTGCCTGCTTCTTCCTCAAGGATTTTGATGGCTTCCTGTCTTATATTTAGGTCTTTCATCCATTTTGAGTTTATTTTTGTGTACGGTGTAAGAAAGTGGTCCAGGTTCATTTTTCTTCATGTCGCTGTCCAGTTTTCCTAGCACCATTTGCTGAAGAGACTGTCTTTATTCCATTGGATATTCTTTCCTGCTTTGTCAAAGGTTAGTTGGCCATATGTTTGTGGGTCCATTTCTGGGTTCTCTATTCTGTTCCATTGATCTGAGTGTCTGTTCTTGTGCCAGTACCATACTTTCTTGATGATTACAGCTTTGTAATAGATCTTGAAGTCCAGGATTGTGATGCCTCCTGCTTTGGTTTTCTTTTTTGGGATTGCTTTGGCTATTCAGGGTCTTTTCTGTTTCCATACAAACTTTAAGGTTGTTTGTTCTAGCTCTGTGAAGAATGCTGGTGTTACTTGCATAGGGATTGCATTGAATATGTAGATTGCTTTGGATAGTATCAACATTTTAACAATACTTGTTCTTCCTATCCAGGAGCATGCAATCTTTTTCCATTTTTTGTGTGTGTCTTCTTCCATTTCTTTCATAAGCTTTCTATACTTTCCAGTGTATAGATTTTTCACCTCTTTGGTTAGATTTATTCCTAAGTATTTTATGGTTTTTGGTTGAATTGTAAATGGCATCGATCCCTTGATTTCCCTTTCTGTTGCTTCATTGTTGATAAATAAGAATGCAAATGATTTCTTTGCACTGATTTTATATCTTGCATTTTTGATGAATTCATGAATCAATGCTAGCAGTTTTTTGGTGGAATCTTTTGGGTTTTCCATATAGAGTATCATGTCATCTGTGAAGAGTGAAAGTTTGACCTCCTCCTGGCTGATTTGGATGCCTTTTATATCTTTGTGTTGTCTGATTGCAGAGGCTAAGACTTCCAATACTATGTTGAATAACAGTGGCGAGAATGGACATCCCTGTCTTGTTCCTGACCTTAGGGGGAAAGCTCTCAGTTTTTCCCCATTGAGGATGATAGTAGTATTGGGTCATTCATATAACGGCTTTTGTGATCTCTAGGTATGGCCCTTCTATCCCTACTTTCTTGAGGGTTTTTATCAAGAAAGGATGCTGTATTTCATCAAATGCTTTCTCTGCATCTACTGAGAGGATCATATGGTTCTTGTCCTTTCTTTTATTGATGTGATGAATCACGTTAATTGTTTTGCAGGTATTGAACCAGCCCTGCATCCCAGGTATAAATCCCACTTGGTCATGGTGAACAATTTTTTTAATGTATTGTTGGATCCGGTTGGCTAATATCTTGTTGAGGATTTTTGCATCCATGTTCATCAAGGAAATTGGTTTATAGTTCTCCTTCTTAGTGGGGTCTCTGTCCGGTTTTGGAATCAATGTAATGTTGGCCTCATAGAAAGAGTTTAAGTTTTCCTTCCATTTCTATTGTTTGGAACAGCTTCAAGAGAATAGGTGTTAACCCTTCCTTAAATGTTTGCTAGAATTCCCCTGGAAAGCCATCTGGCCCTGGACTCTTGTTTTTTTGGCAGATTTTTTATTACTAATTCGATTTCCTTACTGGTTATGGGTCTGTTCAAATGTTCTGTTTCTTCCTGTTTCAGTTTTGGTAGTGTATATGTTTCTAGGAATTTATCCATTTCTTCCGGATTGCCCATTTTATTGGAGTATAATTGCTCATAATATTCTCTTATTTCTGCTGTGTTGGTTGTGATATCTCCTCTTTCATTCTTGATTTTATTTGTTTGGTACCTTTCCTGTTTCTTTTTGATCAAACTGGCTAGTGGTTTATCCATTTGTTAATTCTTTCAAGGAACCAGCTTCTGGTTTCATTGATCTGTTCTACTGTTTTCTTTTTCTTTTGGTTTCGATAGCATTAATTTCTGATCCAATATTTATTATTTCCTGTCTTCTGCTGGTTTTGGCTTTCATTTGCTATTCTTTTTCCAGCTCTTTGAGGCGTAAGAATAAGTTGCGTATCTGAGATCTTTCTTCCTTCTTTAGGAAGGCCTGGGTTGCTATAAACTTTCCTCTTATGACCGCCTTTGCTGCATCCCAGAGGTTTTGGGTTGTGGTGCTATCATTTTCATTGACTTCCATATACTTTTTAATTTCTTCTTTAACTGCTTGGTTAGCCCATTCATTCTTTAGTAGGATGTTCTTCAGTCTCCAAGTATTTCTTACCTTTCCAAATTTTTTTCTTGTGGTTGATTTCGAGTTTCATAGCATTGTGGTCTGAAAATATGCGCAGTATGATCTCAAGCTTTTTGTACTTGCTGTGCACGGTTTTGTGTCCCAGTATATGGTGTATTCTGGAGAACATTCCATGTGCACTGGAGAAGAGTGTATATTCTGCTGCTTTAGGATGAAATGTTCTGAGTATATCTGTTAAGTCCATCTGGTCCAGTGTGTCACTCAAAGCCATTGTTTCTTTGTTGATTTTTTGATTAGATGATCTGTCCATTGCTGTGAGTGGGGTGTTGAAGTCCCCTACTATTATGGTATTACTATCAATGAGTTTCTTTATGTTTATGATTAATTGATTTATATATTTAGTGCTCCACATTTGGCGCATAAATGTTTACAATTGTTAGGTCGTCTTGATGGATAGACCCCTTAATTATGATATAATCCCGTTCTGCATCTCTTGATACAGTCTTTATTTTAAAGTCTAGATTGTCTGATATAAGTATGGCTACTCTGGCTTTCTTTTGTTGACCATTAGTGTGATAGATGGTTCTCCATCCTCTTATTTTCAATCTGAACCTTCAGGTCTAAAGCCTTTAAGGTGGGTCTCTTGTAAACAGCATATAGATGGATCTTGTTTTCTTATCCATTCTGTTACCCTATTTCTTTTGATTGGAGCATTGAGTCCATTGACGTTTAGTGTGAGTGCTGAAAGATATGAATTTATTGCCATTATGATGCTCGTAGAGTTGGAGTTTCTGGTGGTGTGCTCTAGTCCTTTCTAATCTTTTGTTGCTTTTTTTCCCCATCTTTTCTTCCTTCAAAGAGTCCCCCTTAAAATTTCTTGAAGGGCTGGTTTAGTGGTCACAAACTCCTTTAATTTGTGTTTGTCTGGAAAACTTTTTATCTCTCCTTCTATTTTGAATGACAGCCTTGCTGGATAAAGAATTCTTGGCTGCATATTTTTCTGATTCCGCACACTGAATATATCCCACCACTCCTCTCTGGCCTGCCAGGTTTCTGTGGATAGGTCTGCTGCATACCTGATCTGTCTTCCCTTATAGGTTAAGGACTTTTTTTTTAACTTGCTGCTTTCATGATTCTCTCCTTGCCTGAGTATTTTGTGAATTTAACTATGTTATGTCTTGTTGATGGGTTGTTTTTTGTTGAACCTAATGGGAGTCCTCTGTGCTTCCTGGATTTTGATGTCTGTGTCTTTCCCCAGGTTAGGAAAGTTTTCTGCTATGATTTGCTCACATAAACCCTTCTACCCCTATTTCCCTCTCTTCCTCTTCTGGGACACCTATCATTCTGATGTTGTTCCTTTTTAATGAGTCATTTGATTTCTCTAATTCTTAAATCGTGCTCTTTTGCCTTAATCTCCCTCTTTTTTTCTGCTTCATTATTCTCTACAAGTTTGTCCTCTAGATTGCTGATTCTCTGTTCTGTCTTATCCATCCTTGCCATCACAGCATCCATTCGTTATTGCAGCTCAGTTATTGCGTTTTTTATTTCATCCTGAGTAGTTTTTACTTCTTTTATCTCCGCAGAAAGGGATTCTAATCTATTTTCAACTCCAGCTATGCTCTGGTTTCTCTTCAGATCGTATTTTCAACTCCAGCTAGTATTCTTATTATCATGATTCTAAATTCTGGTTCAGACATCTTGCTTGTATCTGTGTTGGTTAAATCCCTGGCTGTCGTTTCTTCCTGCTCTTTCTTTTGGGCTGAATTTCTTCATTTCGTCATTTTGAGGAGAAAAAAGAATTAATGAAGTGGAAAAAAATTAAAATTAGAAAAAATTTAAATTAAAAAAATAAAATTAAAAAATTAAACACACACACTAATAAATGATGCTAGTTCGTAGCTGTGTTTTGGTCTGGGTGTTGAAAATGGCTTTATGGATTAGTGAAAAAAGGGGAAAGAAGAAAAAAAAGGAAATCATTTGAAAATTTGAAAAAATGAATACACTGAAGTAGACTAAGATGAAATGATAGAAATAAAATAGAATTTGAAAAAATTACACAAAAGTAAAAAATATAGTAGAAAAAATTAAAGAAAAATATTTTTATTAAAAATTAGAAATAAACATGAGCTTTTTCTCTTTATGTATTCAAGAAAAAGAAAAGAAAAAGAGAGGAAAAAAGGAAAATTGAATAGATGGACCAGCTAACAGACTGAAACACGACTGGAATTACTTCGTTTTCCTTTAAAAGTCAGGCTATGAAGTGCTTTATAGTCCATAAACAAAGCAGGCTGTGAGGTTTGTGTTCTTGAAGAGCAAGTTTGGCCCAGTATGGCAGGGCTTAGTGTAATGGCTCCATTGTCCACTAGATGGCGCTGGTAGTCTACTGGGTGGATTATTGTGGTGCTTGTAGATGCGTACCTGCATGCATGGGAGCAGTGAAAATGGTGTCACCCAGCTATCCAGTCTCTAGTATTGGAACTCTGTTCTCCCTGAACAGCAATCACACACCTGTCCTTTGTCTTCAGCTTCCGTCCACTCCCACTTCCACACTGTCCATGACCAAGCCCCAGGCAGCACCTCCCTCCCTAGTTTTTTTTTAGATGAGGCTGCCTTCCCAGGCCCCTCACTTCTGAGGGACTATGGTTTTGATCCACTCAGCCCCTCTGTGGATGGACTCACCAAGCAATGGCCAGGTGCCAGCCACACCCAGGAACTCTCAGGGGACTGTGCTACTGCCAATGCCCAGAGACTGTGGCCAGGTGCCAGCCCACCCCAGAAAATGTTCACGAGACAGTGTAGCAGCAGAGCCTCAGGAATTATGGAAAATCACCACACACATCTGGCACTAGGCTTCATCCCCAACGACCTTGTTCCAGCACCAGAGAATGTGGCCATTCTCTGGGGTCTGCTGGGCCCAGGTGGCCTCACAGCCTCTACCAAATGTCCTTCCAGCAGTGGAACCACTTCTCCCCATGTGGTCTGAGAAACCCCAGACTCCACTTTGCTCCTGGGGATTCACCCTTCTCACCAGAGCACCACCAGGTATCAAGCTGAAGAGTTTCAGACTCTGTGCTCCCCCTATTTACAGTCTTAATGGAATTTAAACCCTGTCCTTTCTCCTTTATCCATTTTTAGTTCAGTCCCTGCGATGTTTCCAATTTTCCACTTTCTCTCCAGCTGCTTTTGGGGAGGAGTGCTTTTCCCATATCCCCCCCCTCCCCCGTCTCTGTCCTCTCTCTGCATGCAAAAGCAGTTCCCTGCCCTCTGTGGCTTCTCTCTCCCCAAGTTCACCTCTCCACACTGAGTACATGCTGAATTCCATGGTTCAGGTTGTGCAGATTGTTGTGTTAATCCTCAGATCAGTTTTCTAGGTGTGCATGATTTAGTGTTGGTCTGGCTGTATTTCATGGACATCAGACCCACAAAAAACTTCCATGCTGTTCTGCCATCTTGGCTCCTCCTCTTCAGATTTTTCACCTCTTTGGTTAGGTTTATTCCTAGATATTTTATGGTTTTTGGTGTTTTCTCTTTCTGCTGCTTAATTATTGGTGTATAGAAGTGCAACCTATTTCTGTCATTGATTTTATTTCCTGGGATGTTGCTGAATTCATGGATCAATTCTAGCCTTTTTTTTTCATGGAGTATTTTGGGTTTTCCTCATAGAGTATCTTGTCATCTGCAAAGGGTAAAAGTTTGACTTCCTCCTTGCTGATTTGGATGACTTCATTTGTCTGTGTTGTCTGATTACTGAGTCTAGGACTTCTAATACCATGTTGAATAACAATTGTGAGAGTGGACATCCTTTTTTTGTTCCTGACCTTAGGGAGAATGCTCTCAGTTTTCCCCCATTGAGTATGATATTAGCTGTGGGTCTTTCATGTATGACCTTTATGATCTTGAGGTATTATCCTTCTATCCCTATTTTCTTGAGGGTTTTTGTCAAGTAAGGATGCTATATTTTGTCAAATGCTTTTTCTGCATCTATTGAGAGGATCATGTGGTTCTTATCCTTCTGTTATTAATGTGATGTATCACGTTGATTAATTTGTAGATACTGAACCAGCCCTGAATCCCAGGAATAAATCCCACTTGTTCATGGTGAAAAATTCTTTTAATTTATTGTTGGAACAGGTTTGCTAGTATCTTGTTGAGAGTTTTTACAACCATACTCATCAGGAAAATTGGTGTATAGTTCTTTTTAGTGGGGTCTTTCTCTGGCTTTGCAATCAAGGTAATGCTGTACTCGTAGAGTGAGTTTTTGAATTTTCCTTCCATTGCTATTTTTTCTAACAACTTCAAAAGAATAGGTGTTAACTTTTCCTTCAATGTTTAGTAGAATTCCCCTAAAACACCACCCGACTCTGGACTCTAATTTTTTTGGTAGAGTTTTGATTACTGATTCAAGTTTTTACTGGTAATGGATCTGTTTACATTTTCTATTTCTTCCTGTTTCAGTTTTGGTAGTTTATATGTTTCTAGGAATTTGTCCATGTCTTCTAGATTGCCCAACTTATTGACATATAATTGCTCATAATATTCTCTTATTATTGTTTGTATTTCTTCGGTGTTGGTTGTGATCTCTCCTCTTTCAATTGTGATTTTATTTATTTGGGGCCTTTTCTTTTTCTTTTTAATCAGACTGGCCATGGGTGTATCAATTTTGTTAATTCTTTCAAAGAACCAGCTCCTGGTTTCTTTGATCTGTGCTACTGTTTTGTTTGTTTGTTTTTGTTTTGTTTTGTTTGATTTCAATATCATTAATTTCTACTCTACTCTTTTTATTATTTCCCTTCTTCTGCTGATTTGGGCTTTATTTGCTGTTCTTTTCCAGCTCTTTTAGTTGTAAGGTTAGTTTATGTATTGAGACCTTTCTTCTGTTTTTAGGAAGGCCTGGATTGGTATATACTTCCCTCTTATGATTGCCTTTGCTGCATCCCAGAGGCTTTGGTCCGTTGTGTTTTCATTTTCATTGGCATCCAAGTACTTTTTAATTTCCTCCTTAATTTCTTGGTTAACCCATTCATTCTTTTTTAAAAATATTTTTAATGTTTATTTATTTTTGAGAGACAGAGCATGAGCAGGGGAGGGGCAGAGAAACAGGGAGACACAGAATCTGAAGCAGGCTCCAGGCTCTGGGCTGTCAGTAAAGAGCCCTATGTGGGGCTCAAACCCACAAACTGTGAGATCATGACCTGAGCTGAAGTTGGACACTCAGCCGACTGAGCCACCCAGGTGCCTCTAACCCATTCGTTCTTTGGTAGGATGTCTGTAATCTCCAAATATTTACGGTTTTTCCAAGTTTTTTCTTGTGGTTGATTTCGAGTTTCATAGTGTTGTGCTCTGATAATGTGCAACATATTCTCCTGATCTTTTTGTACTTGTTGAGGGCTGATTTGTGACCCAGTATGTGGTGTATACTGGAGGATGTTCCATATGCACTTGAGAAAAATATGTATTCTGCTGCTTTAGGATGAAATACCCTGATTATATCTGTTAAGCCCATCCAGTCGAGTCTGTCATACAAAGCCATTGCTTACTTTTTGATTTTCTGCTTACATGATCTGTCCATTGCCATAAGTGTTGTGTTGAATTACCCTACTATTCTGGTATTATTTTCAATGAGTTTCTTTATGTTTGTGATTAATTGATTTATATACTTGGGTGCCATCAGTTTGGGGGCATAAATATTTACAATTGTTAGATCTTGGTGGATAGACTCCTTAATTATGATACAATACCCTTCTTCATTTCTTGTTACAGTATTCATTTTAAAATGTAGTTTTTCTATTATAAGTATGGCTACTCCAGCTTTCTTTCGATGACCACTGGCATAATAGATGGTTTTCCATCCCCTTATTTTCAATCTACAGGTGTGTTTAGGTCTAAAATGAGTCTATTGTAAGCAGCATATAGATGGGTCTTCTTTTCTTATCCATTCTGTTACCCTATGTCTTTTGAAGGAGCATTTAGTCCATTTACATTTAGAGTAAGTACTGAAAGATATGAATTTGGTGCCATTGTGTCGCTTGTAGAGTTCGTGTTTCTGGTGATGTTCACTGTACTTTCTAGTCTTTGTTATTTTGGTCTTTTTTGTTTTGTTTTGTCTTTTCTCTACTCAAAGAGCCCTCTTAAAAATTTTTCAGGGCTGGTTTAGTGTTCATGAACTCCTTTAGTTTTTGTTTGTCTGGGAAACTATCTCTCTTCTTTTTGAATGACAGTCTTGATGAATAAAGAATTCTTTGTTGCCTGTTTTTCCAATTCAGCACGTTGAATATATCCTTACACTCCTTTCTGCCCTGCCATGTTTCTGTGGATAGGTCTGCTGTGAACCTGATCCTTCTTCCCTTATATGTTAAGGACTTTTTTCCCTTGATGCTTTCATAATTCTTTATTATCTGTGCATTTTGTGAATTTGACTATGGTATGCCTTGGTGATGGTTGGTTTTTGTTGAATCTAATGGGAGCTCTTTGTGCTTCTTGGATTTTGATGTCTGTTTCCTTCTCCAGATTAAGAAAGTTTCCCACTATAATTTGCTCACATAAAACTTCTGCACCTTTTTCTCTCTCTTCATTTTCTGGGAATCCAATGATTCAGATGTTATTCCTTTTTAATAAGTCACTGAATTCTCTAAATATTGTATCATAATATTTTGCCTTTGTTCCTTTGTTCCCCTCCTTTTTTCC